GGTTTAGAAATGATAAATAATGAGTATGGATATATTGACTTATGCTCTGATATTAAGAATCTTAATAGTAACTGTCATGGAGTAACTCTGGGTAATGATAATTTCAGAAATTGTGCAAAAACAAAGGTGAATAGGAAAAATGTGCAGAAGAAAAAACATAGGATGGTATTTTATGCTAACAGTCAAAGTGCAAGAAATAAGATTAATGAATTAGGTTTGGTAGCATGTGCTGGGAACTTTGATGTCATTGCATTAACTGAAACGTGGTATGATTTAAAGAGTTGGGATATGATTGCTGAGTGTAATATTCAAGGGTTTAAGTTGTCCCAAATAGATAGATGTAATGGGAAGGGGGGAGGAGCTGCATTATATGTTCGAGAGAATATTACTTGTTGCACAAAATCAGGTATAAAAATAGATGGAACAGTAACAGAATCTGTTTGGGTAGTTTGTAGAAGGTCAAGAAAAACTAATTTTAGGTGTAATATACTGACCTCCAGGCTTGGACCACGATAGAGGGAGACTTCTTTGGGATGAAATTGTTAGGGCTTCTAGACACAATAACGTAGTGATAGTAGGGGATTTTAACTTTAGTCAAATTAACTGGACTTCTTTGACTGATAATCTGGAGTCCAGTGACTTTATGGAAACAGTTCAGGACTGTTTTCTGAAGCAGTGTGTAACAGAGCCTACCAGGGGTAATAATTTGCTTGACCTAGTCTTGTCAAAAAAGGAAACAATCGTAAATAATCTGGAGATCATAAAGAGCTTGGCGCAAGTGATCACAAAACCATCACTTTTAGCATTAACTGGGAATACAAGAATAATGATAATACGGTAAAAATCCCTGATTTTCGTTCTGCCAATTACAATGGACTTAGGGAACATCTGTCTAATCTCGATTGGGGTTATCTAGCTAATGATTTTATTGACGATGATCATACTTATGATTACGAAGGGATCTCCATTTATGATTTTTTTCTTAATAATGTACACCGTGCTCAGAGTATATACATTCTCCAGAGAGAAATTAGGTCTAATAATAACAATCCCAAATGGGTTAACAGGAGGCTGAAGCATCTATTAGGGGAGAAAATGGGAATTTATACGAGCATCAGAAGAGGAGAGGTTAACCTTACTGACCAATATGTTCAGCTTAAAAGAGAAGTGAAAAAGGGAATTAGAAATGCTAAACGTGACTATGAAATTAGAGTTGCTAATGAATCAAAGATCAATCCAAAGGGGTTCTTTCAAGTGTATAGGATGAAGGTGAAGGAAAAAGTAGGACCCCTGAAAACTGGGAATGGACAGCTGACAGATAACGAACTGGAAATGTGCTCCATATTAATGACTATTTTTTGTCAGTTTTTACACAGGAAGACATAAATAAGATTCAAGAAATTAACAATTATTCAGTTCCTGACGAATTCAAATTGACTAATATTACTGTTGTGAAGGACATGGTTATCAAACAGATAGACAAACTGAAGCAAAATAAGTCCCCAGGGCCAGATGAGTTGTTTTCCAGGGTACTTAAGGAATGCAAGATGGAACTTAGTCAGCCATTAACGAGTGTGTTTAATGCGTCCATCCTTACTGGTGTTGTGCCAGAGTTGTGGAAGTTGGCTAATGTGGTTCCTATATTCAAATCAGGGGATAAGTCCGTTCCTTCAAATTACCGTCCAATAAGCCTGACATCTATAGTGGGCAAGTTACTAGAATCAGTTATAGCTGACATTATTAGAGGTCACCTTGAAGAGCATAACTTGATAAATGAATCTCAGCATGGGTTCACAAGAGGTCGTTCCTGTCTGACAAATTTACTGACGTTCTTCAAGAGAACATTTGAGGCAGTAGACAGTGATAAAGAATATGATACTGTTTACTTGGGTTTTAGTAAAGCCTTCGACAGAGTACCTCACAAGAGACTCTTAAGGAAAGTGGCAGCTCATGGTATAGGAGGTAAAGTTCTAGCATGGATAGAGGCATGGCTTACCAATAGAAAGCAGAGAGTTTCGATTAATGGGGTCAAATCTGAATGGGGATTAGTCACTAGTGGCGTTCCACAAGGATCAGTTTTAGGCCCTCTCTTGTTCATAATTTACATTAATGACCTTGATGAAGGGATTACGAGTGACATGAGCAAATTTGCTGACACAAAGATAGGCCGTATGATTCATTCTGAGAGGATAGCAATGAACTCCAGGAGGATTTGGACAAATTAATGTCTTGGTCTGAAAAATGGCAGATGAAGTTCAATGTGGATAAGTGTAAGGTCCTTGGTAATGAAAATAACCCTCAAAGCTATAAACTAGGTGAAGTAGAGCTTGATCATACAGAATGCAAAAAAAGACTTGGGAGTTATGGTAAGCAGAAACCTGAAGCCAAGACAGCAGTGCCTAAGTGTGCGCAACAAGGCTAACAGATTACGTACTTGGATTTATCTCAAGAAGTATAAGTAACAGAAGTCCAAAAGTTATTTTACAGCTCTATATATCACTAGTGAGGCCTCATTTAGATTTTGCTGCTCAGTTTTGGTCTCCTTACTACAGAATGGATATAGACTCATTAGAGAACATACAGAGAAGAATGACTAAAATGATTTAGTGTGTAAGGAATCTCCTGTATGAAGATAGACTTAAAGCCTTAAATCTTCACTCTCTGGAGAGATGTAGAATGAGGGGAGATATCACTGAAGTGTGTAAGTAGATGACAGGCATAAACATGGGAGATATTATTAAAGTATTGAGGGTGTCGAACCAGGAAAGAACCAGAAATAATGTATTTAACACTATTTACACTAGAAGAAGAGTCCAATGACAAGCTACCTTTACTCGACGTCCTCATTCACAAAGTAGACAACAACCTAAGATTTCAAGTTTATCGGAAACCCACCAATAAAAATGATCTCACACACTTCTATTCCAGTCAAGATACCAAGACCAAAAGAGGCATCATCATCGGGTTTTTCCTAAGAGCATACCGAATTTGTAGTTCTGAGTTTCTTGACGAGGAATGTACGTACATTCACCAAACATTCACTGAGTTACATTTTCCTTCTTTTTTCATCAAAGACTGCAAGAAAAGAGCTCTTCAGATTATTAATTCTCCACGCATCAACACCACTCCCAACAAAGTTATAATTCTTCCCAACAGCCAGGTTGCACTGAACGTCTCAAAAGTACTTTCACAAGCTAACACTAGAGTCGCCATTGCTTCTAGCACTTCAATAAAGGATCTAACCAGGACAAAATCCAAGCACTACGAACCAGTCAATGCAGGAGTTTACACTATACCCTGTGGAGGCTGTGACAAGATTTACGTAGGCGAAACAGCAAGAAACCTCGACACCCGCCTCAATGAACACATTTACGCATGTAGGAACGATAACTTGAACAACGCCTGTGTACAACACCGAAATTCCACCAATCATGAAATTCAGAGACGCCCAATTAGTGATCAAAGAAACTAATTTCCGCAGACGCAAGTGCCTCGAATCAGTACTGATCGCTGTTTCAAATACAGTTAAACAAAACAACGGCAGCTTCACCATCTCCGAAGTCTTAGCAAGAATCCTCCTGAAAACAGTAAACCCTGCCATCACATAGTCCCTCCTGTTATACTACACAAAGCACATTACAGAGAGTGAACAAGCTGCCTCTTTCCAGTCTATATTTGTCCAACCTATTTTTATGTTACCCAAGTAATAGCTTTTATATCCTTTTACTCATGTACGAATTAATTGCTCTACCATATTGTATTACTTTTGTCACTACTACTACTACTACTACCACTAGTGAACATCGAAATGGTACCTCACTAGTATTGCACCTCACTCTGAACCTTCATATACCCTCTGTGTCCATGTATTGTTTGTAATGGCCTGATAAAGCTCCTGGAGAGTGAAACGTTGCCACAATAAATGTCACATTAGTTGCACTTGTGTCCTTTTACTTTACATATTGTCGGTAATTCTACCAACTTTATTACAATAATGTATTTAAGTTGGATAAATTTAGATTTAGAAAGGACATAGGTAAGTACTGGTTTTCTAACAGAGTTGTGGATGCGTGGAATGATCTTCCCAGTAGGGTGATAGAGACTAGGCCCTTGAGTAGCTTTAATAAGAGATTGGACAAATATATGAATGGGAGGGGCTGGGTTTGATTGGTGTCATTGGGTATGGGAGTTAATTTTTGGGCAGCTTTGGGTAGAGGTCGTTTTGATAAGGACGTGCCTTGTATGGGCCAGTAGGCCTTCTGCAGTGTTCCTCCATTCTTATGTTCTTATGAAACCAAGAATAAGACCATAAAAAACACAGTTCAATACACAGCACAGTTGCTGTTTTAAACCAAAAACACAGTTGCAATTTTTTCTCATTATGCACTGCTTTCTGCAGGATTTTTTTTATATGGTGCACACTTACTGCATGGACCCATTCTCTTGTATCTAGGCCCAAATTTACTGCTCACACCTTATCTGAGAGCTGAGATCATCACGTAGAATAACAAGACTGAACCGGGCTTCAAAGCTGTAGTACAATGGGACCTACCCTCAAAGGGTTAAATACAACAAACTAAAACCCTGCCTAAAAAAATTTTTATATAATTGAAGAATATGTAAAACAAAGGGAACTTCTGAGAAGGAAGAATCATGCATAAGAAAAGCGAATAAGAATTATGTATATGCAGTCAAGCATAGAAAAAAAAATAAGAGCAAAAGAAAGGACCACTGAAACCAGAAAGACAACTGCAAATGATCACAAACTATTGAAGGAAACTGTCAACGTGCGAAACAGGCATTACTTTTGGCCGTACTTACCAACAAATAAAAAATACGAGAGAAAATGAGAAAGAAAAATTACTTAGTACACTCACAAAGTGCATACTATTTTACTATGACAATCATTTGGAAATGTTAAAGCTATAGGAATCATGCAGAGCCTAGAACAGGGCTGGTGAGCCTATAGATGGATTTTAATAAAGTTGAAATTCCCATACCTGTTACATAGAGAGTAGAATTAGAATTGAATGGTGTCATTTGTGATTCATGTTGGTGAAGCACCTCAGACATGGAGTCTTCAATTAGACGCATCCAGTGGTCAACTTCCATAGTATGCCCCTGGTACCGTGGCTCATCTGAGTGATAAATGTAATTATCATTAAAAATATTGAAGACTAAATCAGCGAAAACAAATACCCTTAAGGCAGTTGTCCACAACTTTTCTGCAAAAATGAGCCACATTAGATGGTTAAATATGCAATGAATATCACACCCTTCAAACAAAAGGTGAATTAACGTAGTAATTAAACTTTTGTTTTTTAACACACTGGCCATCTCCTATCGAGGTAGGGTGACCCGAAGAAAAGAAGAAACACCATCACCCATCATTCATTCCATCACTGTCTTGCCAGACTCTCACTCATACTACAGTTCAGTTGCCCCTCCAAACTGCAAATATCCCAAATTTACCCCTATTCCTATCCCTCTTTCAGAGTGCAGGCACTGTATTTCCCATCTCCAGGACTCAAGTCAAAAATCATTTTGATTTTGATTTCATAAGCCTGGCTAACCAATTTCCCTGAATCCCTTCATGTTACCTCACTCTAGCTCCAACAGCACATCAGGTCATGAAACCTAATATAGATGAGGGGGCAAGAGGCAGGTGGTATGTCAATTAAGGCACCTGTTGAAAGAGAGAAGCTTATCTAAGAGGGCAAAACAGGGAATATACTAGAGTATAATGGTTTGAAGCAAGAGTTTGAATAATGCAGTGAGGAGGAGGCAGGAGGCAAGAGGTATTGGTGAGGTCATGTTTTAGAGCAATGTGTGGTGTGAATATTGCTCAGAGAATGCAGAGCCTACAAATTAAAAGTGGGATTACTAAAGGTAACCCGTGTAGAGAGGATAGAGGTTGATAGGCTGTCAAAGGTGTATAAATATGGGGGTGGAAGGTTAAAATAGGAGTTATCCAAGAAAAGAGTGGAGGTGGTGGTTAAAAAGAGACAGTTTTAAGGGCTTGAGCAACCAGCAGGCTTGTGTAAGCATGCTAGACAGGGTGAATGGAAACAAATGATTTTTAATGGATGTGCTGTTGGACTGTGAGAAGGTAACTTTCATGATGGGATTCAGGAAAACTGGTCAGCCAGACTTGAGTCCAGGAGGTGGGAAGGACAATGCCTGTACTCTGAAGGAGGGGTGGTATGGAACGATATTGTGTGAATGATGGTAAATATATGTAATATGTGTACTTCTTTGGGTCAAGCACATTGGTGGGAAGCTAGCCATTAAGGCAAAAGAGAAAAAATGACTACTTTAAATATTGCAGTGAAAAGGAGGCTGGAGGCAGATGTGTCATATTTGAGATCATGGGTGATTATTTAATGTAGGAACAAAAGATTGTAAGGGAATATGAAAGGTATAAATGCAGAGTTAGAGGTATCAGGAAGATGGAGGGAATATTTTGAGGAACTGTTAAATGTTCATGATGATAGGGAAGCTGTGATTTCATGTATAGGGCAAGGAGGAATAACATCTAGGAGTGAAGAAGAGCCAGCTGTAAGTGTGGGGGAAGTTCATGAGGCAGTGGGTAGAATGAAAGGGAGTAAAGCAGCAGGGATTGATGGGATAAAGATAGAAATGTTAAAAGCAGATGGGGATGTAGTTCTGGAGTGGTTGATGCTTTTATTTAATAAATGTATGCAAGAGGGTAAGGTACCTAGGGACTGGCAGACAGTATGCATAGTTCCTTTGTATACAGGCAAAGGGGACAGAGTGCAAAAATTATAGGGGAATACATCTGTTGAGTATACCTGGTAAAGTGTATGACAGAGTTATTATTGAAAGAATTAAGGGTAAGGCAGAGAGTAGGATAGCAGATGTACAAGAAGGCTTTAGGAAAGAAAGGGGATGTGTAGACCAAATGTTTACAGTGAAACATATAGGCAAACAGTATTTAGGTAAGGCTAAAGAGGTTTTCGTGGCATTTATGGATTTGGAAAAGGCATATGACAGGGTGAATAGGGTGCAAATGTATAGAATAGGAAGTAGATTACTGAAAGCAGTGAAGTTTTAATGAGGATAGTGAGGCTCAGGTTAGAATATGTAGGAGAGAGGGAGATTATTTCCCAGTAAAAGTAGGCCTTAGACAAGGATGTGTGATGTCACCATGGTTGTTCAATATAGTCATAGATAGGGTTGTAAGAGAAGTGAATGCTCAGGTGTTGGCAAGAGGTATGGGGTTAAAAGTTAAAGAATCTAACACAAAGTGGGAGTTGTCACACTTGCTCTTTGCTGATGATGTCTGCATAGTTGCTGATCCCCTGTATATGTATATGTTATCCGAGTATCATAGTATCATCCATATGCTTTACATAGTTGACCCCTTGCTAGGCTCAGTGACTAGCATGTGTGACATCACGTGATGCCGCATGCGAGCGCTGCGCTCCCGGCCTCCTCCTTTACTCCGCGCTTAGGTCTACGAACAGGCAACACAAGCAGTCTAGGCTCCCCTTTCACACACTGCTAATATAAGTGTTACCATCCAACAAGTGTGTGTAACTCCAACCATAACATCTCCACGAACCCTCCCAACAAACGGTGCCAGCCGACGACGGACATTGTGTGTGAGACAGCATGGCGGCCTAGCCTAGCAGCCAGCTACCCCGAGCAAGCGTCCACCAGCCTGTTTGCTTCCTGCTTCCTGGTCAGTCTTTGTATCTTAGTGTTTTATTTGCTTATTTGCATTACTTCCGAGGGGTTGACCCAAGTTTGCAAATTAAGCCAAGCCGCCAAGCCAGTCTGTGGGGGAAGGGGGGGGAGTTGAGCCCTACACCATCCAGCCTGTCTTAAGTACCTGCCCTGCCTGCTAGCCAGCTTTCCACCCCGGGAGAGTCATCCACTCCACCGAGTTTGTTCATTCCTCCAGTAAGAAAGAACCGATCCCTTGTGGTCTGGTGTGATTCAATTCCTGCTCCAGGAAGATCTTGTTCTGACTGTGAAGCCACCAGCACCCATTAGTGACTTTGTAATAAGCCAAGAATTACTGTATTGAACAGCCGAGTTGGGTACTCCAAGCAGAAGAGTATACCAGTTAGTAATTCCACAGTCACTAGTGAATGTAGCTGTATCTTTTGTAGATGCTTATTCAGATCTCCCTCAGTCAAGGTATGTGTTAGCCATTGCAAAGGAATTCGATCCTCCCAAAGACAATAACCATTCTGCATATGTAAATCTTACCCTCGCAGAGTTGGGTTTAAATGTACATAGCCTGTATAATTAGATGTCCAAGATGAATGAAGTTGTCAACTGTGTGTTTTGTTACCTCCCAACTCGAGCAATTATGTAAGTGTATTTTTGTAAGTGCTTTTGTAAGTGTATTTTTGGGGGTCTGAAACGGACTAATCTAATTTACATTATTCCTTATGGGAACAAACTCGTTTGGTAATGGCACATGAATGGCCTTCTGAAACAAATTATGGCCGAAACTCGAGGTACCACTGTATATGCTTCTAAACTGCTGTATCTGGGTGCCTCTGCAAAGACAGTGATTATGTATGAGTGAGGTGAAAGTGTTGAATAATTATGAAAGTGTTTTCTTTTTGGGGATTTTCTTTATCAGTCACCCTGCCTCAGTGGGATACGGCCGACTTGTTGAAAAAAAAAAAAAAATTGTCAAAGATGATGCTCTGTGAAATATCTGAACTCTAGTGGTTCAGACAGTTTAAAGAAAGCACATAGGCTAAAAAAAAAACTGGATACATTTATACTCCACACTATTTGTTACCTTTGAGTTCAGGATGCTTTACATGTTGAAGTGAATTTAGGAGGTAACCGTGGACCTAGTCCTCAGTCTTTTCACTGTCATGCTAAGGATCACTTAATGTACAAGCCCTTATCTTTGCCTCATTGCACTCTAATTGACAGAATCATTAATTCTCTAACACCAAACACTGTGCACCTCAATGATGCATGCACCACCCTACAGCATCTCGATTACTTCTAGTTTCTTCCTAATAGCATGGTTTCATGCTTCATCATCTCCCTTGCTTCACCAGCATCACCTGCACTTCCTTTGCAAGCCATGGTAAGTATCCAGAGACAAGATGGGGCAGTGAAAATGAAAAACTTAGTGATGTACACCGAGCTAAAATCATACATGTCCAGATACAATGGCTCACATGGGAGGTTGATATAGTGTTTCTGTACCATCACCCTCCCCAGCAGTGCTAAGATAATGAAGTTGCCTAATGTATATTGGGGAGGTCTCAGGCCTGCCTGAGGCAGTGCTCCTCAACAGAAATGTGCACCACCAATGGAAATGAATTTTGCACCTGTGCACCTTAATGGCAATGGGTGAGCTTCTACTGGAAATGAAAACCTAAATTTAAATCACAATGAAAATGTGAGCTACGACCATGTGGCATGAGGTTTTCTACTGCATGCAATGAAGCATGGCATTTTTTTAAACCACGTAATAAAGTTACTCTTGAAATTCTGTGACTAAGGAATTGTGCGATAAATGGTTTTGAAAACCGACAAGTTGAAGATTAAGACACTAATGTAACATATGGGGATCTTTATTGAAGAAATGCCTCTACAAGTGTGATGGACTGAACACATTGATTCCAGGCTGAGGGACTGATTATCTCAAACTCCTACTCTCCTTACACCGTCCTCCTTTGTATTGGACTGATGAAGCCACTGTGTGGCAAAATGTTTCTTCAATAAAGATTCCCATATGTTGCATTAGCGTCTTAATCTTTGACTAAGGAATTGGTGCAGACCCAACCCAGCAAAAGCAATTTCCTGGTATTTATTCTTGATAGACGTACTTGCGATACAAAATGAAGCATCATATTATTAGGCAGAGCTCATTTCCTCCTGAAATGTGAATTGCCCTGCGAGTGGTTACGGAAAAACTGAAAGAGCTGGGAGTTACCCCTCTTCTCATCTCAAACGAATATTCGTGAGAAGCAATGCATTAGAGATAAGGTTAAAATGGCTGAAATATGAAAACACATACTGACTGAACTCTGAAACATTATTATACATAATATTTACCCCAAAACTGGACAGTGCCTGGTGTGATTTGGGCAAAGACTATGGAGAGGAATAATGTATAAAGAGGAGAGTGATG